CCTTTTACATTAATTAGCACAAGGTCGTTCCCTGGACATTTCAATTCGAGCCAATCAAAAAGGGAAGGAATTGTTAAATACTTTCAATAGAGTGTGTATCAAGTAAGTGAAAAGATAAATCATTAAGATAATCTTTTTTCCTAAGAAAAAAGTAAACAAAAATTATCATTTTTATAAAAGTGTATAATATTCTTGCAATATTATACACTTTTATAAAAAAAATAATACATTAAAAAATAATACATTAAAGGAGTTGACTTATTTTCATATATTATTTTTGGGCTATATTATTCATATATTAATTTTTATAGAATATTAAAGTAATTAATAATAAAATAAATTTTCAAAGACTCATAAGAAATTATTTTATCGATATTATTGCTTTTTAAAAAATTTATAAAACAAAAAGATATTTTCCAGTTGATTTTGAGCAATAAATTCGATAATGAGATATTTTGCGAACAATTAATTCTAGAAACGTTTTGGAATACGAATAAAAGCAGCAACTAATTCGTTTAATGTACTTTACTCTTGTACGTAAAATCATCACTCTTGTATCTTTTTGTTAAACAACGAGCAATAAATTTGAAAATAGTATATCTTTCGAGCAATTAATTAGCAAAAAAAATTTAATGTTTTAATTTATTTTTTGTTTTTAATGCTCAATTTTTTATTTTTGGTAGTGGTGCTAGTGTCCCGGGAAGTTAGCACCCCCATTTTTTAAATTTAATTTCCTGCGAATTGATAGAAGCAATAGATTCGGGACTACAGCAATAAATTAACACTAAATTAGCACTTAATTATGGCATGGATCCGAACTTTTTTTTAATGATAGAAGTCAACTTCACAGACGTAATGAGACCGGTGCAAATTACATGCAGGAACAATGTAGAATTCTTACAATTGGGCTTAAAAACGTGATATAAAAGATTAGCATGTCTGAAAATTTGTTCATATGTATATCATGTGTGTACAGAAATGTATGTATGAGTGTGTGTATGTATACATAAATGTATTTATGTATGTTAGGTGTGCATGTGTGTGAATATTTTCGTTGGAGTTCGCTCGTCAATTTAGAAGCCTCCTAAGGATGTAAAGCATATCCTTTTTTTACTGAACTAATTTTGTCAAGGCCATAAAGGAAATAAAGAATATTTTAAATAAAAGTTTATTAGCTTTAAATATATTTGATAATAGTACCTTTAATTACATTTCTCAATACATCCGCAGTTTCATTCTAATTTTAAAAATTTGGAAATTTTTATGAAAACATAAATTACAAAAAATTAAAAAACTAAAAAATTACTAAACTAAAATTTAAAAAATTTTAACTTAGAAAAAAGTTAACAAGTTAAAATGTTTTAAAAAATAATTAGTTGAAATTAAACATTTAGTTATTTGAAATTAAATAAATTCACATAAAAGTTATCAGATTTTTAACTTTACTGCTTAACTAATTATTATCTAATGCTTTAATTTAAATAACTGTAATAAAGAGCTACTAAACCAGAAATAATATAAAATAAAGCAAATTCAGCGGAATTTTAAATCTAAAATTATTATATTTTAATTATTTTAATATTCTTTAATATTCTTTAAATTGGTATATGAAACAATAACTGTATAAAAGTAAGTCCAATTTCTTTTTATCAACAAGCAAATTTGATTCTGTTATTTATTTTTCTTCTTCTACTTTAACACAAACTATTTCTTTTTATTATTAATAATTCTAGGTTTAAGACGTCTCTTATTCAGGAAAAATCGAGTTAAATTAATATGTCTATCATGAAAAAATAATGCTAGACTGTATAAATATTTGTTAAATTTGATACATGTAAATAATGAATATTGAAGTTTATAAAAGAATGAGTGTACAACTTTCCTCGGTCGCGTCGATTTACCTCAAAGGAGAGAAACAAAAGATAAAATGAGAAACAGAGAATTGCTCTTTATTACATGCTCTGAGACGCTAATCTCCTGGGACGCTATCTCCTCGAGTGTGAGACTTATTACATGAACAATGCGTAACAATATTATTAATAAGAAAAGATGTTTTATAATATGTCTTATTATAAGAATACATGTACAAGATTGATA